CTGGTTCGGGGGCGGACAGAAAGGCGGAGGCGCTTCGCGGCGGCGACGTGCTGGGCCTCCGCGTTCTCCCGGCGGGCGTCGCCGAGCAGGCGGCGCGGCGGGCCGCCCGCGCGGCTTGGGTTGAGACTCATGCCGGGTGGGCGGAGGGAGGAAGGGGAGGGAGGTGGAGGAGAAAGGGGATGCGGATCTGTAGATGGATTCCTTGGTGGTCGTACGCGTGGCAGACGGGTACACGTGTGGAGAAAGGATCAAAAAATGGGGAGCAAGCAGATGGCGGATTGTGATTGGATGGTGAGAATGTGTAGTGACATGCGAGCAAACGGGATGGGCGTGCGATTTCGTTTCAAAAAAGTAAAGGAAATGAATTGAACAGTTTATTAAGATCGGGAGAAGCCTACGTCCGACTGGGTCTTAGCCCTATGCTCGATTATTGTGACGAATTTTTGTGCCCCCTTTCGGGACATAAATCCCTAGCTCCTCCAATTCTCTGAGTTAAGAGACGGGATCAGGCTCATTCGACAGGCATTTACTTCCCGGTCACGAGAGTGTAAAGCATGTTCGGTAAAGTGGATCTTTTGATGAATGGCGGAATGTTAAACTTTTTTGTGAACCATTTCGAACACTGGGTCAAAAGCATCACAAAAAGTATTCAAAGTCGTGCTCTACGTCTTCCTTTCCTATGTTAGTGTCTCATGAACGAACGAACAGTGCTCTCCGGAACAGCACATTTGTAGACAAAATATTGAGCTCTCCGAATTTTAATGCCCTTCATCACCCAGGGAGTGTACTTAAGAGGTACAACATCAACAATAGTCATCAAACTCATCCTACAATGAAGGAAAATTGTTTACGAATTCTATGTATCACGCTGCCTAACACTACGTAAACTACGATTAAATGCCCGTTTCTCACTAACAATAGGTCTGCCTCTCTTTAAGGTGTCCTTCGAGTGCCATTCTACCCAACACGCAGTGCATATAGCCTGACTACACGCTCAACACCACTATATTTGGCTTGAGCCCTTTCGCTTAATCTTTATCTTTCCGTCTTTCTCCCCCGTAGTGACCAGGAACAAAATACACAGTAAGTGGAAGGTCCAGAGACCTTTTTATGTGCTATTCTTCTGTTCAAGCGGCGGGCCTTGTGCCTCTCAATGTTATACCTTTCTGAAGCGTTTCTAGTAAACAGTGGTGTGATCCTTTCAGACTCGTTATCTCCGTTCTCATCAAGAAGACCTCCGTTCTCCGTACTATACCTCTCAAACCACTCCCTGGCGAGCTCCCGAGCGAAAGAGCCAAACGTAATGCATTGCGTCACTTTGTGACTCAGTGCATTACGTTTTGCTCACTTTGTGACGCAGTGCAGCGTAACCCTGCCCATATGATACTTCAACCTCCTCCAAACCGGGCAAAACTTGAGTTCTCCTTGCCACGTGAAGTCTGCATGCAACTGCAGCATTATTAATCTGCATAGACAGAAGACGTGCTATGATAGAAACCACCGGGTGTTCGCTCATGTTTCTTCTAGCCAGAGTTCTCAAATATCTAGATATAACATCTACTCCACCCTTGAGGTTGTTCCAGTGTACTGTTGGCGTCCGCCTTATCATCCTGGAGGGTGGAATAGGCTCCCTTTAACGTAGCACTTCTCCTCTTATGGCTTGGTTGAGGCCGTAGTATGACGTAAAGCCGTATAGGTCGGACGTGTGTGACGTCTTGAGCATGACATCGTACTCCTTCGGTATGCATTCCGTGGGTTCGCCAATCCACTGGGAGGCAGCCAGTCGGGCACAATCCATGGTGAAAGTATAGCAGTGTCTGAATGTCTCAGAGAATGACACCATACAAACGTACAGTATACGACCGTCTGTAATAGAGCCACCTGTTCCGACCACATACATCACCTTGTTGATTGCCAGCGTGGCCGCATGGTGTAGAACCTGGCTTCTATATTGTACAGTAGGCACCAGCGTTCTAAACAATTCAGTAGACTGGGCGTTGACGCCCACGTTTTCCAGAGCGACCACAGAGCCATACAGTCCAGCGAGTTCTTTTGCGTTCTCAATGGTCCTGATCGACGTCATAGTTTTAACCTCTACTACATAGACGTCATGATCCCCTTCCTCATCCTCGGCAGACAGCAACGCTTCAAGGCTGTCGGCCAACATCGGGCATCGACAGTTCTCTAGAAGTCCTGTGTACCGGACGTGTTTAACCTCGCAGGCAAAGGTTTCATCCAATTGAAAATTGGGTGAGCCTAGTCGACACCTATACGCTCCGCCGCAGTTTTTTAGAAACACCGGTAGTGCCTCAACAATGTTGTTTTCATTGCGAGTTCCTTCTCGCATTCCAGTTGTCGCGAAAAGGAGCTTCATCACCCATGCCTCATGTGACGCCTCTCGAAGGGCATTGCACACAAGCTGCGCAGCAGCATGACTGCGCTGTTCTGCACTGCCGTCGTCATCATTCAGCCCGGAGTCCAGCTCAACTAAATTACTGGCTATGTCGGCCTTCAGCTGGTTCACAGCAGCGACGAGCTCGGACTTCGGGACCCGTAGCTCCAGTCCCCTGTCAAAAGTGGACAACATCTGCTGCAATTCAGCCTTCGTAGTTTATGCAATGCGGGAGGGGGTCATTTCTGCTAGTCGGGTTGCTACTGTGCGGCGTGTTGAAGGATTGGGCCGGTCGATCAGATTCATACCCAGTGCCCAGGGAATTTTGTCCCACTTGTCCATGAGTAGTAACCGCACATCGTCCTCGTCGTCACTGAGCGCTTGCACGCCTTCGACGATTGTTCTGCCACGAAGCAGGGCAGCGAGACCTCTCATAGAAGCGACATAGTCCCGCACTACAGCGGCAATAAACTCGTGCCCAGTCCTCGACGTGAATCTAAATCCACGTAGAAGGAACCACACCGGGTCCTCTGACTGCAAATAGGTTAGCGGTGTGACGCGGGCCAACACTTGTTCTACGCGGCTCTTACCGGTCGCTGGTGGCACCACTTGAACTTGGGACATCGTGTGTCGTCTACTGCCCAATTCGTTTGTTGGGGGAACGTCATGAACAATCATCGCCGAGTCCAGTTTCCTAGTAGCCGCCTCCCCCCGATACTTGTCGCGGAAGACGATAGTGGAGCATCTCGGAGGAAATAAAGACGCGTTGCTGTGAACAAGGGCAGCTACACGCCCAGAGCAACTTTCGCGATAGACGCAGGCCTCAACGCCCCGGGCGGCGGGGGTTCGACTACCACCGTTCTTATATCTTGCCGTGTACACGGCCCGACAGCCGTTCTCCGACACCACCGTACCATTATGGCGACGCGAAATCCGGCCGCCACCGAAAACATAGGGATACCAGAAGTCCCTCTTTTGCGTGCCTAGAAGGCTAGCACCGAGAACCTCAGACACAAAACGAATTGTCTCTTTAGAATTGTATCCTCTGCCTGCCGCAAATATGGCTTCAGGCATAGGACGTAGAGCCCCTGTAGTAGATACCCCTTGTAGAAGTTGAGAAAATCTCTCCCACGTATGCAATAGCTTCTCGCCGCTACGCGAAAAGTGACATGCCAGGAAGAAGGGATTTAGAGCACTGCATAATGCGTTCCCAACAGGCCCGAGTCCTTTCTTCGGGTTGTTTAGTTGCTTTAAGTAGGTGAGATCGACTACTGCTCGCGACGCCATTCTCAGATGGTCGTCGTCGAGAGATAGTACAGTAGCGTTGGGAACATAGAGAAATTCTCTGTTAATCGCCGCAGTTTCCGCTTCGACCTCTGCAATGAAAGTCGTAGCCCTATTCGCTGTGCGGGACCAGCCCGTAGCAGACATGTCGTAGGTGCTCCTTTTTCCTTTGTGCCGCAAAGGGCACCCCCACACGGAGTGGTATCTATCAGCTTTGATTCCCATTTGAAAGAAGAAGTCACCTTTACAAACGTCAAGAAATGCGGTTGCTGATTCTCCATAAGCGGCACAAAGGACATGCAAGATAAGTAGACCCAACAGCTCTTCTTTCGTCATGCCTGCCTTCCCCTGTTGCTACAAAACACGATTTGCACCGTATCGTAACTTCTCCAACAAACAGTCGGAAACGAATGTCTGCACGCAGCTCAATGGCGTCAAGTTCACTTTCTCGTTGCGTTCATCAAATTCTTCCACGGTCCTAGTCTCCACATCCGCAATTACCTTGTCCAACACTTTGTTAGCCTCCATAACGAAACGCTTCTCTAGCGTTTTATTCACGTCATCCAACCTGACAGAGATCTCTCCAAACGGATTGTCGTACTGCCAGGTGTCCATCCCCCCGTCCTCTGCGCTTGCGCACGCGCTTCTATCTCTTCAGGCGAAACAGTTGCCCGAAGAGATAAATTGTCTTCCTCTTGGACGTCCTCCCAGGTACCAACCGCAAAACGTTCACCGTCGAAATCGTAATAGATGCGACTACCGAGATCTTCACAAAGGGAAGCGCCAGACTCTCCCCCGGTGGCGCAAATCGTAGCCATGTACGATGAACTGCCTAGCTCGTGCACTTCCTGACGCGACACAGTATTTTCAAACTCTTCGAGCTCGACGGACGGCGCACTGCTAGCTTGAGAAGATGCGGAACTTGAAGCAGGTAGAGAGGGCTCTTCAGAGGAGGAGAACTGCACGTCTGAGTTGGGAGATTCGTTAACAAAAGCCTCTGCAGGCAAAAACACTGGGGGCGCCTGGCCACTTCTCAGAGGCGTGTTCTGAAAGTCGGAATCGTCCAATGGTAGACTGGCAGAGCTTTCATAGCATTCTGTTGTTTGAACAGGCGCACGAGGGGAAACATTTGGCGATATGTGGTCAGTTGACACGCTGTCATCGACAATAATATCTTCAACGCCTCCCGAACTGTCACGAACACCTTCTTTGGATCGCGAAGCAGTGCTACTCGTATCGTAGCGGTCTACAAACCCCAGTTGGTTTTCGGGGTAGTGCTGCTGGGCTGGAATCGTTGGCAGAGTCTCTGGAGGAATAGCATCACCAGCGGCAGCCTGTATGTCCTCAGTATCTCCCCTTCCAACTACCCGGAATACTGGGGGATTAGGGCTATGTTCATCATAGCTGATATGTCTCCTGGGCATAACATATGCTGAAGGAAGCTGCTCCTGGAAAGCGCGCCTGAAAGGGTCTCAGGGGCGGGTTTGGGACATAAACTGAAGAGATGTGAGAGAAGGGGTACTTTTTGAGATGACGACCACGTTTGTTGAAGAGATATCCCTACTATATTTTCCATTGCGCACTTTAGTGCGCAAATATTTCGAACAGCCATAACTCGCTCGGAATGCAGCCATAGCACTTCTAGGTCAGCAATATGTTAGGAAACCCCTACCAAAACCCCTACACGGAACCACTTGAAGAACGAAGCCGTAATCAATGCTGTAGGAGGAGGGTAAAACGGGACATTTCGGAAGGCAGATGACCCCGAAAAATCCCCATTGCGCACTTTAGTGCGCAATGAGTATTTACAATGAG